GCTGAATCTTAATATTTAGTGATCCAGATTAACTTATTAGAAGGACCGTTTTGAATTCTGGCATGATAAAACTAATTTGTATTTTAAAGAGTGTTTTGTAGCCATTAATTTAAAAAATAAGCCAAGTTGCTGAGCATCACATTGATTTCTTTGAGTACTGAATGCTAGCAGCTGCAGAAAAGGAATCACATCACCACAATGGCACGTTGTGTCCTGAAATCAGGGTTGTGAAAAGTTTGCAGTGATTGTAGTACATTAGCAGGAAACAAGTTTATGGAAGACAGGAAAGGAAGAGAAAGGTGAATTATTTCTTCATAATGGTCCTTCAAGTTAGGCAGAAATTTATTTTATCTGCAAAGAGCAGGTTCTTAGTTGTTCTTTCCTAATAATTGCGCAAGCTCCTACTTGGCATATATTTAAATTTGGCTTTATATTTGAGGTTTCTTACATAATATTGTATAACCTGGTTCAATCAAATGAAAGAAGAGGGCTGTGATTAAGAATGAGGGTTGGGTTGTAATCTGTTTGTCCCTGGATAAGAGGAGATTGTCCCAAAAATACATTTCAATCTAGGTACTAAAATTCCAACTGGTACTGTTCAAGACAGATCCATTACTAGATGATTTGACTTAGGAAAGAATCATGCTGAGTATTTCCCCTCATTTATACCTAATTGTGGCCTAAACCTATCCTGGCAGCGTCTTTCTTCTTCTACGTTCCCACGGCATTACTTTTATTTATTTCTCCTAGTCAAAGAACCAGATAGACTTAAATCTTCTTAGCTGTCCCACGATGACAACTCTCCTCTTAAATCAACAATATGCAATGACAACTGCTAGATGTGTGTGATCTCTTTTGCCACTTTGCCACATATTATATCAAATGAGAAGTTAGGTAACAGTGAATCAGAGAGGTTCTTATTGGTTGTTTCAGAATGAGCAATCATTATCTCTTCCTCTGAATCCCTCTTATCCTTAAAAAAAGGTAAAGGTTTCCCCTGTCTGGTTGTGTTCGATCTAAGGGGTGATACTCATCTCTAGCCAAGGGAGCCAGTAATATCCAAAGATGCTTCTGTGGTCATGTGGCCAGCATGACTATTACCTTCTCACCAAAGTGGTATCTATTTATCTACTTGCATTTACATGCTTTCAAACTGCTAGGTTGGCAGGACCTGGGGCAAGTGACAGGAGCACACCCTATCACATGATACTTGGGTCTCAAACTGCCAACCTTCCTGTTGACAGCCCAGCGTCTTAACCGCTAGGCCGTCCTTCCCCCCACTTAACTTTACCTAACATCATTTTGTTCTTGTCTCCCTAAAGAACTGGACACTACAGTATTGTGGTGGTTCTTGAGATTTGTTCAAGAACACCAGACCCATGTTTTTAGTATAAGAGTTCTCTTTACATTTCATTGACAATCTCAATCTAGTTGCATGTAAATAAAGGCCACCAGGAACCAATGTTTACCACATGTCCAAATGACCCCCGGTGTTGCCTTTTGTATTCTCCAGAGCAACAACTGATGACTGAAAAAATTATGTGGTGGTCTCTTAGAATTGTGCAATACTATTAGGCTGCCCACTTGGAAATACTGCACGTGATAAATTCTGTTGTGTTGATTGGATTAGTAAGAGGCTGAAGTAGTTTAATAGTAGAGGATGAGACCAGCTCTTCCCATTACCTTCTGAACAGATTATGAAGGAATCTTGAAGACAGCAGTTGTAATCTATATAAGGAAAGAAAGGGGGAGAGGAATCCTAAATAAAAGTACAACTTGTGATGCCGTTTCCTTGGTGACTGTTTCTTATCCAAGTTGAGTTACAGTTAAGTGGAGGGTAGGAAGAAAGGTTCTTGAAGGAACCCAGAGCTATCAGAGTCCTGCAGAGATATTGCTCCATTTCTGCAGCAATGCCATGATTGACAGGTGTAATTCTCACTACCAACTATTGATGTACTGAAGAGGAAGGAAGGAGAAATTAGCTAGAAGGAATTAGCCAATTTTTACTTTGCACATCACAGGCCCGTTTAGGACAGCACCATGCAGAAGCAACTCGGAACAGACAAAATAGAGACAGGCAGCAAATTTCATCTCAGTTAATAGTTTTCTGCTGAAAGGAGGATGGATGAAAAAAGAGAGATTTGTATCTTATTCAGAGACATAATCCATGGAAATATTTACTTTACCACAGGATGAAGATCAACGCTCTTGAATGGAGCCTAACTAACCTCTTACATCCATTTTTCTGGACAGCATCATAGAACTGATTCACCAGTGCTTGATTTTGGATTTGTTTTTCTTAACTTCCCATTCTAGTTGACAATCGTGGTATTCCTACGTGATTCCCCTGTTAAAGTACTTACCAGGATTATATTGCCTAGGATCAGTCAAGATTGGTTAGGTGCTGCTATCCTATTGTGCTTTCATAATAGGATAATGGGTATTAATAAAGATAATTGTATAATTGTGAGCATATGCATTGTCTGCAGAAGAACCTTGCTCCAAATAATAGCATTTCATCAATAGCTGTCAGAAACGCCTGCTGAAATCCTGAAAGGTTACTGGCTGTCAATGATGACATGCTGAGCTAGTCAAGCCAGTGGTCTGACTTGATATAAAGCAGATGTCTCAAGTTTAGTAGAGGTTCATGAAGCTATTACTCATAATCTGAAGAGCTATTGATGGTTGATTTATCTCCTCACATAATATGGCATAAGATACCTGCGACATATATCTGACTTGCAATATAACTAAGTATTTGCAGGGCCTTTCAAGTTTAGCATCATCTCCTTCTTTAGAGCAAATACGACATTGTATTGCTAAAATAAGAATACCATTAGCAAGAGGTCGGCTCTTTATATGTTCTTTCAACATTTGCAGACTCCAAATCCACTATCCGTAGCAAACGTGAAAAGTATCATAAATGCTTAAGACAATGACCCCCAAAAAAGTGGGAGCTGCTGTTGCAAACGGAATTTACAGGCTCTAAATATTTATTTGACCAAATGTCTAGTTTAAGTTTTATTACAAACAAAAACGTATAACAGAGGACATATTGGGCATGGTAGGGGTAGGCAACCTTGCCTCTTTTATGACTCGTGGACTTCAACTCCCAGAATTCCTGAGCATGTCTGGCTCAGGAATTCTGGGAGTTGAAGTCCACGAGTTATAAAAGAGCCAAGGTTGACTACCCCTGGGGGCATGGTAAAAAAAAAAAGAGCGGTAAAAATAGATATTATGCTACAGGTTATATTTAAACTAGATGGAAGTGGCTTGAGCTGATGAGACTATATGGAATAGTTTCTTGGAACTGCCGTTCCCTCGAGAGATACATTTATCTCTTTCTATGTTCAGATTAATTATTGAGTTAATTGCAGGTAACCCTCCATATATGACCACAACTGAGCCCTAAATTTCCATTACTCAGCAAGACAGTGGTTAAGTAAGTTTTGTTCATTTTACAACCCTTCTTGTTGCGTGAATCACTGCAGTTGTTAAGTTAGTAACATCATTGTGAAGCGAATCTGGCTTCCCCCGTTGACTTTGCTTGTCAGAAGGTCACAAAAAAGTAACCACAGGACCCCCTGCAACTGCCATAAATACACATCAATTGCCAAAAGTCCAAATTTTAATTACAGTGTCCACAGGGATGCTGCAATGGTCCTAAGTGTGAAAAAATGCTAATACGTCATTTTTTTTCAGCGCCATTGTAATTGCAAACTAAACGGATGTTTGTAAGTCGAGGACCACCTGGTATTTTGGCTAGACTTTTCAGGAAAAGGAAATGTACTCGTGTGTTGTAAAAACCAGCCAAAGGACCACTCCTGGTTACTTTATTCCATTTCTAGAATGACTGTTCCTTTAAGGTTGCTCTCTGCCTATTTATATATTTAGTAAATTTGTGTGACAATGCATTCAAAGGCAGGACTATTGGCAGCTATTAATTCAAAACAAAATAAAAAAAGCAAACACAAATATAAGAGAGCAGCTAGGCAGCAAGACACAACAAATATCCATGGACGATACAACTAAGAAATGGGCAACTATGTGGTAGTTAGTCATTTGCTTCCCTATCAGCCTTCCAATTCACCTGTGTCTACCTTGACTTTTGTTTTCATTTCAGAATATTTGTACTGTATGTGTCATGGAAATCAGATGTCTGTCTTATTCAGAGCTGTGTAGCACCTTATCTGAGCTGAAAAAATCCAGGAGATTACTTTGCTAACATTTAATACAGTAGTTGTCTAACTTTTTTACAGCCCAGATACATCAGCCCTATTCTTCTCCCCCGGACAGGTTTAACCAACTCAAAAGTGAACAATTGGAGGAAAAGGACTGAAATGTGATATTTCCACTTTATCTCTTTGGAGGTTGATAAATTGAATAAAAGAAAGGTGCAGTTCTCCACCAGATTTAACAGTGTCTCCTATGCCTTCCATTAATCATAGTTCACAGTTTACAATGGGTAGATTCACATTTTGTGATAAATCAATATCAAGCCAGATTATTTTAACGTGTGAGGCCAGTCACTGACTTGTGCTTCTGTTCTTACTGCTTTTCTTCCAAATACTATTGAGCTTCTTCCCATAATAAATTGGCAAACAAGATATATTTTAAAAATACATTGCTATAAGTGATCATGCTCATGAAAAAGTTATGCATTTTTAGTAATAATTATTTTCTCACCCTTAGCAAAACAAACAGCCTATTTGTCTGAAATGGTATAGGGCTTCCTGCCTGAGCAAGGAATTGGACTAGATGACCTCCAAAATCCCTTTCAACTTTATTATTATTACTATTACTATTATTATTATTATTACTATTATTATTATTATTATTATTATTATTATTATTATCTATAAATATTTCCTACTCACTCACCTTTCTCTCTCTTTCTTCAGATGGAGAAATATTCCTTCTTTGGGATCTTTTTTTGTACAGTATTTGTGTCCCAGATCTTTGGATATCCATACAATGATATTTCGATAGCTTGTGACTCCATGTTACCAGATCATGGAAGTGCCCCACAGACCTCAAGCCCACCTTACGTCATCTCTGTCTCTTTTGATAGATATGACCCGGGAAATGAAATACAAGGTAAAAAAAGTGGGCAAGGGTACAATCTAGCTCAGAAATTGAGTAAGCTATGCTCAGATCCATCAGAATGTGGAACATTGTTATCAGTCAATAGCTTTTTCAGTGGCAGTTTAAATTTGCCATACAGTTTGTTCTGTCAACGCTGCTAACATTGGATGTTCCCGCTCTGACAACTGCTTTAACATGCTTTTTCTTACTTTTAGAAATCAGGTGCAGCAGGGGGGGTTGGGATGAAAGCTCAGCTAGCCATAATAATAACGCTACTGTGGGAACCCAAGGACAAGCTGATAACGTTTCGGCAGGCTGAGGAGCTGAGGAGAAGGCCCGTGCTTTAAGCTAATTGGGGAATGTACTTTATGACAGTTTATTGGGGGTGGGAATTGCACTTTGTTACTTTGTATCCAGGGGAAGGAAATTTTAGTTTTTGGGTTCAACTATGTAGTGCCGATA